TTAATGCTTTTTCTGGAAGCAGAGACATGTGTGAAGGCTTTGGGTTTCTTATTTCTTTACTTGTTCTTTCTGGATTTCATAAAAAAGGTATAAATGAGCAATAAAATGACTTGGATGGAATGTGATTGAATATAATACTACATTTGTTTGTTTTAAGAGGTCACATATTTTGCTTAAAATTACATGTGGCAAAATTGTTATGTTAAATTCAGGTTAAGAAAGCATATTAAAAACAAAGATATCTTAAATCTTAAAAGTTCTAGAGTGTAAAGTTTTAATTAATGAAAAAATTAATGATGAATTATTTTAATATGCAATTTAGGTATTCAATAAAATTAGCATTCTTTCTTCCTTAAGTATGTGTTATCAAATTTCAAGAATGTTAAAAACTTCTCTGATGATTTAATCTGAAATCATTCCTACAGCAAAATTCATAAATAATAAATACTATCTTATTAATCCATATTTTAGTTTAGCTGGGTCTCAGAGCAAGTTATCTCCTCAGGGAATGTAGTGTTCTTTATAAAAGGAAGTGATGAGACATAATCTCTAAGGAATTAAATTGTGAAAACAATCTTGGTATTGTACATGCTAATATAAATCTGTTATTCCCTTTCCGCATCTATCACAACACATTTTAAATTGTGGCTGATCTTGTATGCAAATAGCTGTCTTATTAGAAATTGCGGCTGTATGTGCTAATGTCTCCCTGGATTTCTTGGGAGTTTTCTATCTAACCATCAAAGCAATAGAAATGAATGATGATTACTGCAAGACTTTGAAGAACAAAGAAAAGTCAGGACATTTTAGAGGTTCTAGATATATGAGGCATTGACAGTTTGAACCATACAGATGAATGGGTATCTCTTTATTGAGGTAATTTAAAATAGCCTCAATGTGTTTATTAGTAAAGTAAAATATTTTTCACTTTCTTGTGTTTGTTACAACTAATTAAATGCAAGTTTTTTTAAAGTGTGCATTCTATAGATGTTTTTTATTTTACCATTTGGTGAAATGATTTTTGCTTATATAAATAATTGGATATAATTTCAGAAACAATAGTAAAGTTAAAAGTTTTGAAATTTTGGTTATTAACAATCTTTAAATAATTAAGAATAAAAATTGAAAATCAATTGATAATATATTTCCTTGGTGGAAATTGTTTTAAAGTTTTTATATTCAGAGATTATTATACTTATAAAATGTGACTGTTTATAGAGCCCAGGCCCTGATAAAAATTTAAATACTTTGCTATTTTTGTCATACAGAGCACATTTACAAAATAGTGAAATTCAGTTTCCTTTAGTGAAAAGATATTCTCAATTGACCCCTTACTTTTTATTTACTACAGGCAATGAATGAATAAAATACTGGCCACTAAATTGTTAACTCTTCCTGCGATGTTGGTTTAAATGATCAGGAAGGAAATTCAGAGTAGCCATTTTGGCAGATAGCTTTAGTAACCTGATTTTCTTTTCTTTTTTTTTTCTTTTTTACACATATTCCTTAAGGATAAAAAAACAAAAAGGGATATTATCTTGTGTATTCATTTGTATAAATTAACTTCTTTCATAAATTGAGTGATATCTTTTCTAGCCTCACACAATTAAGATAAAAATAACAACTCACAATTAATAAATGCAAAATCACTATGCAAATGGATATTCTATATGAATAAATTATAATATATCTATCAACATTATTTATGATGCTTGTCTTGACAATTATTTTGAATGTTTTGAATTATAACAAGTAACTATAGGATTAGAGATACCTTGGTTTCATTTATAAAATTTAAGAAATGTGTTATCTTACATGAAAAATTAAATGGTTTATTAGAGTGGAAGTCTTAATTTTTTAACTGTCATTTTTTAATATATTTATATTCCCAGGTATTGCTTTAATACTATAAATCTCAATATTATTATGATTAGAAAGATAGGATATAAGTGAACTTAATAATTTTCTTACATGCAAATAGAAATTATTAGAGATGCCTTTTACTGTGTTATATGGGATCATTTTAGCTATCTCTGTGAGGATATAAATACATACACACAGACACACACACATAAAATGCAGTTTGATCTGAACAGATTTCAAATGCACTTGGTGTTTTAGAACCTTAATAATGCTTATTAAAATATTTGCAGTTTGATAATTGCATCCATTTATATGGAGAGATCTCTACCTGTTTGTTTTAGTTGAAGTAATACCAACTGCTTTAACAAGTAGATGTAAGAAATGTATAGTGGCTCAAATGCTGCAAGTTTATTTCTTGTTCTCACAGAAGTATGAAAGTGAAAAATAAGTTGGTTGGAGAGCTTTCCTCCATGCACTCATTCCAAATCCAGGCTGTCACAGAGTCTCCATCCTCATTATATCATTTCTTAATCCATTCTCATCTCAACCAGATAAATTAGTATACATGAAAAAAAATTTATGTCAGTTCTAGAAGTAGGAAGCAATTTACTCACATTCTATTGGCTAAAATTAGTGATGTGCCCGCAACTATGAGAGGAAGCTGGCAAGTGTAGCCAAATATGCCTGGGGAAAAAAAAGAAAAGCAGGATTTTTGTGAGCAACCAAAAATTTTTACTATTTTGACCTTTCTGGCCTTAAAATAGCCATGTACGTCCTTTTCCCTGCCTCCTCAGTAAGAGAAAACTTGATAGAGTTTATAACTTACTGCATCCAGTTCAAAACCAAGAATCTAAAGCTAGTAATGCACAGTCTTCTCAAGTTGGGATGTGGTTACTTGAGGTTTATAGACCATGAAATTTACCCACCCTTTTCCAGCCTCACCAAAAGAAGATTCTTGCTTAGACCCCAATTATTATCCTTTCAGAGGAACTCCTTCATTTTTTTTCTTTATAATTCTGCCTTCTGGAATGTTCTTTCTTCTTGATCACATATAAATTTGATAATACAAACTCAGCAGAGTTTACCTTCCTTAAGGCTGCTCTCTGTTGTTTTAAATATAGAGACCTAAGCATTGGTTTTCACTTTCAGACCTTTTAAATGAAGTTTTTGCCTTCTTGGTAAATGTAGTTCCCTCAAATATTGCAAAGCTTCTTACCATTTCTAGTGAGCTCCTTGTACCAATAATTGTATGTTAATTTCTTTCATACATATAATTCTCAACCTATGCTTTGTTTCTATGCTTTGTTTCTATCCTGTGATTCTCTGTTTTTACCCAAGAAGTCTACTTGGAAGTAATTTTAAGTAATAGGCCCAGTTTAGACAGTAATATCCTTAATCTTAACTTTGTTTCTGTCTGTCCGTCACCCCTTCTCTTTCTGTTTTGAGCTGAGAAATTTTAATATGTTTTTTGTTTTTCAAAGTCTTTTTCAGTTTTATTTCTTGCTGTTTTGTTTTTAGCAATTAGCATTACCATCTCATTAGTACCTAATTTACTAGACTTTCTATTTCTTAATATTTTTGTTTGTGAGCTGAGCAGTTCTTGCCTTACTTTATCTTCTCCTATAGCACCTTAACTAAAAGCAGTGAGGAACAACTTCTCTTGCACCAATGTTGGTATTATTTTAGCAAAACTTATATCTGTAATGCATAAAACCCACAGATGTATAAGAACTCAATTACAATTGAATTCTGTTCCTTTCTCATAAGTGGGATAATAGGGTGGTATTATGATTTGGATGTGAGATGACCCCAGAAAAGTTCATATGGCAATGCAGGGATGATCAAAAGTAAATTGATTAGATTAATAAGAGCTGTAACCCAACCAGTGGGTTAATACATTTGATGTGTTAATAATTTGAATTTATTTCTGGGTGGTCACTGTAGGCAGTTATGATATGGCTGGAAGAAGTAGGTGGGAGGGGGTGTGCCCTTGGGGATTATATTTTGTCCCTGGCTCTTTGCATTCTCTCTGCTTCCCAGCTGCTATGTCTCCATCATCCCCTTCCACCATGATGATCAGCCTTATCTCAGGCCCAGAGCAATGGAATCAACTGACTATGAACTGAACCTTTGAAACTATGAGCCCAAGTAAATTTTCTTACTCTAAGTTGTTTTTGTCAGTTATTTTGATCATAGCAGTAAAAAGCTTACTACTATTACAAGTGAAGTTCGAGAAGTTCATGAGAATACTCTTCTCCATTCCCACGCAGTCTGACCAAATTTCTGTTTCTACAAATGTAACTTGGAGATATCTGGAGTTCATTTCCACTTGAGCCTATTAGAAGGGGAAAAAGGATGCAGGATTATGCTTGAGAGATTTTCATGCTAAAGTTTGAAAGTGATGCATGTCATTTCCATTCAAATTTCTTTAGGAAAAACTCAATTTTATACTTGAATTTAGGCTAGGAAATATTGTCTAATTGTGCAAGCAAGAAAGTGGAACACACATTTGGTGGCAGATTATAATCTTTATTTAAATATTTAAATTAAATAGAAATAGTAGGATTTGAAAGATAATATTGAGGATTAATGAAACAGTACATATAGTATGCAAAATATAAATAAATGGTAGTATCCTTATTGTTTACAGTAAGATGGACACCACTAAAACCTAAGTCATCCATTTTGTCTACAAACAGAATACAAACTTCCTGAAATTCAAACTTTGCCTTCTTATATTGTGCAATGCAATAGATAATTGGTACAAAACATGTGACCAAGAGCAAGCATGTAGCCCCAGCCCATTTGAATAAATACTATGTGATTTTCACATTTACAGATAATATTATCTAACAGTGTGGTTTAATTGAGCATTGATATTTCTTGATAAAATAAATGTTTCCAAGAACAAATGATTGGAAAATTTAATTACCAGCAATTGTATCCTTGATAATTTATTTGAAAGAATTTTGTGTTCTTTATGGATATCTAATGGGAATATGTCAAAGGCATTTTTACCCATTGCTTTAAAGATGAATTTTAAGGAATAAATTATTCCTGAAGTTTGTAGATAGTCTTTTTAAGGATTTCATTATAATTGTTTTCTTTCTTTTCAGCAGGCATTTTGGAGATCAAAGATGGGTAGAAAAGATGCTTCCACTATAAAACTTCCTGTTGATCAGTACAGAAAGCAAATTGGTAAGCAGTGAATTCCCTTTGATATCCTCCTGTGAGTTAAGATAAAGAAAAAAGCAATTATGCATGATATTAAGACATATTTTTTGTAATACATATGATACATAGAAATGTACAAAGAAGAACTTAGAGATTTTAGGAACAAAAACTATATTTAGCCAAGCTTGCCATAAAAATACATACTTTATGTACTTGTGATATATGAGTGTTTATACAATATTACTTACATACTAGATCTCAAGGAAAGACCCTCCAATTTTAAAGAAGCAATATTCAACATATTTCTCTAGGAAAGTGTAGAAAATTGGAAATCAGAAGAAAAAATTTAACTTTTCCTCCCCACTCACAGTGCACTCCTTTTGTGTATCCTTTCATCCCTGCTAACTCTCATTCTTTTGGAAATAAAAATGTAATACATTAATAAAAATATGTCTTTTAGTAACTGAAGAATAAATAAAGAATTTCCAGGAGAAGTCAGAAAATAATTAAAAAGAATTGATACCAAAACATAGGGTATATATTTAGTTCATAAATATGGCACAAATGTACATGCCATAAATTTTTGAAAAATTTAAAACAAAATCTGCAAAACAAAAGACATGCAGAAAAAGTAGAATAATAATCTGGCATACATGCAGCCAATTAAGAATTTTTTGTATTGTTTCCAACAATATACAGGTTTAGAAAAGTGATATATATATATATACACTTATATATACGCACACACACATATGTGTATATATACACACACTTACATAAATATATACACATACATAGATATACACATAGATAACAATAATTACTATAATCAATCCAATTAAAAGTCATCATTTTACATAGTTATCTTTTTTGTGTGTCCTCAGAGCACCAAAAGTCTACTCTTAGCAATTTTCGGTTATGTACCTTATTAATTATGGTCCCCCTGTTGTACATTAAATCCCTAGATTTATTCATCATATGTGATTATAACTTTGTACCCTTTGACCTATGTGTACCCATTGCCCCCTCCCTTACCTCTAGTAAGCACCTCTCTTTCTCTATGTATTTGCCTTTTGTTTTCCTTTCAGGATTCCAAATACAAGATATCATGAAGCATTTTTATTTCTGTGTCTGACTTATTTCACTTACCATAATGCCTTTTGGGTTTATCCATGTTGTTGCAAGTGGCAAGAGATCATTTTTTTAAAGCTGAATGACATTTCATTTTATGTATGTATGTTTATGTGTGTGTGTATATGTGTGTGTGTGTATATATATATATATGTATATACATATATATATATACATATGTTACATATGTATATATATATATGTATATCCACACACACATATACACACACACATATACACATCACAATTTCTATCTTGCAATCTGTCAACAGACACTGAGGTTGTTTCCGTATCTTAGCTATTGTTAATAATGCTGCATTGAACATGGAAGAGGAAATATCTCAACAAAGTGCTGATTTCCTTTCTTTTGAGTATATAGTTAGAAGAGGAATTGGTTTTACTTTTAATTTTTTGAGGAATCACTATAATGGCCCCACCAATGGTACAGTATTTGCTGTTCTCCATATTGTCACTATCAATGTTACCTTCAGTTTTTAAAATACTTTTTTATTATATCCATCTTAATAGGAGTAAGACTGTACCTCACTTTTGTTTTATTTTTATTTCCCCTGATAATGAGGGTAATTGAGTACATTTTCATGAACCTGTTGGCCATTTTCCTGTCTTTAGAAAAAGTCTGTTCTGATTCTTTGCCCATTTTTAAGTCAGGTTTTTTCACTATTGGGTTGTGTGGGTTACTTACGTATTTTGCATTAACTCTTTCTCAAATATAGGCTTTTCACATATTTTTTCTATCATGCCATAGGTTGCTTTTTCATTGTGTTCATTGTTTTCTATCCTCCACAGAAACTTTTAAGTTTAAAGTAGTTTTGCTTATCTATTTTTAACTCAGTTTGCACTTTCAGTATTTAATCTGTTTGACTTGGTTTTGTGTGTGGTGTAAGATTAGAAACTAGCTTCCTTATTTTGTAAGTTGATATTTCATTTAAGCAGCATCACTTATTGAATAGACTATTTTTTTTTCCCCGTTGGTCAGTCTTGGCACTCTTGCCAAAGATCACTGGTCCATACTTATATAAAACTGTTCAATTGATCTATATATCTGATTTTATGTTAGTGTCATACTGTTCTGATTACAGTGGCTTTATAATTGATGTTTGGAATCAGGAAGTGTGATGTCTCCAGCTTTCTTCTTGCTCAAAATTGCTTTGGCTATTCACAATCTTTATTGGTTGTATATGAATTTCAGAATTGTTTTTTTCCTATTTCTGTAAGAAATAACATTGAAGTTTTGATGGATATTGCATTCAATCTATAGGTAGCATGGACATGTCAACAGTATTAATTCTTGTAATCCCATAACATGAAGTATCTTTCCTTTAATTGCACCTGCTCTAATTTCTTTCATCACTCTTTTATGATTTTTTCAGTATACAAGTCTGTTGCTGCTGTGTATTTTCTTCTTTTTGATGCTATTAAAATGAGATTGTTTCCTAAATTTCTGTTCCAGAAAGTTCATTGTCAATGTATAGAAATGCAACTTCAACTAATTTTATTTATGTTGAGTTTATGTCCTGCCACTTTGCTGAATTCATTTACCAGTTCTAACAGTGTTTTTGTAGAGTCTTCAGGGGTTCCATATAAAAGATCATACTACTTGCAGAGACATTTTTACTGTTTCCAATTTGAATGCCTTTGATTTCTTTGCCTTGCCTAATTGCTCTAGATAATAATGTGTTGAATGGAAGTGGTAAGAGTGGGCATCCTGGCTTTGTTTAAGATGTTAGAGGAAAAGTTTCAGTTTTTTCATCATTGAATATGATGTTGACTATTGGTTTGTCATATATGGCCTTTATTGTGTTGAGATACATTTTTTCTATATATAATTTGTGGAGAATTTTTATCATGAGAGGTTGCCAAATTCCATCAAATACTGCATCTGTTGAAATTATCCTGTGATTTCTATCCTTCATTCTGTTAGTATACTGTATCATATTGACAGCTGCGGCATATGTTGAACTATCCTTGCAATGCAGGGATACATTTTTGGTCATTGTGAATGATCTTCTTAATTGATATTGAAATTTACTTTTATTGAGGATTTTGGAACTGTGTTCATTGGAAATGTTGGCTAGTGGTTTTTTATATATTTTTTTATATTTTATTTTCATTTTTTTCCTTTGTCTGGCTTAGGTTGTTGGCTTCATAAAATTAATCTGGAAGTGTTCTCTCTTATATTTTTTGGAAAAATTTAAGAAGGATTGGCATTATTCTTTTTTAAATGTTTGGTAGAATCTGCCTGTAAAGGCCTCTGGTATGGGGACTTTCTTTATTTCTGGTTACTGATTCAGTCTCCTTATTTGTTATTTCTATGTATAGGCTTTCTATTTATTTTTAATTGTATCCTTGTTAAATTTCTAGAAATATGCCCATGTTTTTAGAAATGTACTGTTTCTTCCAGTTATTCAATTGTTGGCATGTAATTCTTCATTATAGTCCATTATGATCTTTTTCATTTCCATGGCTTCACCTATATTGTATGCTCTTTCATTTATGTTTGTATTTATTTGAATCCTTTTTCTTTTTTCTTAGTCCTGATAAGGGTTTGTCAATTTTACCTTTCTAAAAAACTCTTCATTTTGTTAATTTTTTAAAATATTTTGTTACTTGTAGACACAATAACTTTATTTTGTTCGTTTTTTTTTTAATGTGGTGCTGAGGATTAAACTTAGTGCCTCACATGTGCAAGGCAAGCGCTCGATTGGAAATCACAACTCCAACCCCTTTGTTAATTTTTCCTATTGCATTTCTTCTCTCTATTCCATTTATTTTTCTCTAATTTTTATTATTTTATTTTTTCTGCTAACTTTGTACTTAGTTTACTCTTTTTTCTAATTTCCTGAGATGTAAAGTTAGGGTATATACTTGGGATATTTCTTTTCTTTTAATATGTTGTTCATTACTATATATGTCTGTTAGTACTACTGTCTCAGTTTGTTTTCTATTTGTATAAAATCTATCTGAGACCTGGTGATACATAAATGAGAGAGAATTTTTAGCTCATTGTTCAGAAAGCTGAAAAGCCCAGAGGATAGTGTCCACATCTTATGGCAGCCTTCATGCTCCACAAGACATAGAAAAAGGTACCACATGGCAAGACAAAGAAAAAATGGTCAGCTCAGTCTCTCTTCCTCTTCTTATAAAGTCACAGATTCCATTATGTGGGTATACCCTATGTAATCACAGTTACCTCCCTTTTGCTCCACCTTCAAATATCATCAACGTGAATTTAGGGATTACATTTCCACGTGAGTTTTGGAATTCTCATTCAAACTATTTCAACTACTTTTTCTAGAGCCAATACATTTTGGTATATTGTGTTTTCATTTCCATTTGTCTAAAATTTTTACTTATTTCCCTTTTGAGTTTTCTTTGACTCAATGGATGTTTAATTTTATACATTTGTGAATTTTCCCTTTTTTCTTTTTTTTATTTAATTGATTTTATTTTTTTAAATACATGACAGCAGAATGCATTACAATTCTTATTACACACATAGAGTATAATTTTTTTGTATATAAAGTATGTTCACGCCAATTCATGTTTTTATACGTGTACTTTGTGGTTTTTTTGCATTACAGTTCTTATTACACATATTACCACAATTTTTCATATCTCTGTATATAAAGTAGGTTGACACCCAATTTGTGTCTTCATACATGAACTTTGGATAATGATGTCCATCACATTCCACCATCCTTGCTAATCCCTTGCCACTTCCCTTTCTCTCCACCCTTCTTCCCATCATTTTGCTTTTCTTATTGATGTCTAATTTCATTCCATTGTGGCCAAAAAAAAAAGATATTTTGAGTGTTTTCACTCTTCTTAAATTTGTTGAAACTTGTTTTGTATCCTAGAATGTGTACTTTTGC